AAAAGTAGCAGATACAACCCGTTTCGTTCCTGTGTTAACAGCGCCTTAATGTGAGACCATTTTTATTTAATTTCCTTGTATTAGAATGAACTGTGTATACAGGACACACTGGTGGACTCACGTCTTATACATGTACTGGTGGTAGGCTATTGTATCTACAAGTATCAAACCACAGGTGGATAGCAATACTAGTCAGATGGTGTAACATTTGCATATTAACAGTTTGATCAAGGTTAACAAGAACTTAATAATTATATGTTGCCAGCATGATCTTTTACTAGACAATAGTGTGTAGCACCATTCAATGTTATAATCATCAACATTGTTATCAAAATGATCAAATAATCTTTATTAGGACAATCCACTTTCAAAACCAAAATGTCTGAAGCCCAACACAAAGAACTGCCGTGGTGAGAAGACAAATGATGCTCTGAGTAGAGAGAAAGAGAGAGAGAGTCCCCCTTTCTTCTGTTCCCGTTTCATTCCCTGCTATTTTCTTCCCTCCGTTCTGCAGTTGTGTGTCCTGACCTTGCAGCTTCTATGGCCCATCCATCTTGGGCTGCTTAGCCATTTCGCTGGCTTCATACTGCGCAGATTAACACAATTCATCACCACAATCATCCTCCATTCATCACCCTTTCCAATGAATGTTTTGACATCCAGTTAATTTTCTGCTGATGATTTATCAAATTATAATTACCATGCTCTGAAGGGCTCATTTATTATGTTGATACATGATAATGATGCCAAAGTGGATTGAATTTTAAGTAAGTTCTCCCTGCGATTATAACATATGCGTTATTGTGAATAATGCTTTGCGATTTGATTCTTTACAGCCTGGAAATTCCTGAGACACTCCTAATGATATAAAAATCAATGCAAAAAAAGGAGACAAAGTGAGACTGTTAATTCCATTTTTTTACAGAACAAATAGTTTGGCTTGGGTGCAGTAAGCATGAAAAAGTTCAATTAGATTCAGAGCTCCCATCTTGGATGCCCAGTAATTAAAGAGCGCACTAATTCAATCAGGGAGTAGGACTGAGGCAGAGGGAGTTAGGCTGTTTCTTAATAGGTTATAGGTTATTTCTCACATACTGCCCTCATAGGCACTTCATTAGCCTTCTGCCGTACGATTCACTCAGCTTTTCAGCCTCATTATTATCCAGGTTTATTAAAATCCAATGGCGGCCTATCTGTTTCTATTACTGAGGAGATGACCAGCCTAATGCACTAGGTCACAGTTAAGGGCAAACACACCAACGGCTGTTTATGAGAAGTTAAAGAGGAATAGTAATGGCTATCGAAAACATATTATTTTCTATCCGTAATACTAAGTAGTTGTGGGTGCATAACTAAGCCATTGTAAGAGTAAACGCATATGCATTTACCCTCAGCAATAACCTTGCTACATATGATAGATGATTACATCTTTTTAACAGAGCACTGAATTCACCAAGGCCAAATTGGATTTCATTTGGTCCGATTTGTTTTCCCTTTGTCATTGCTACTGTTTATTTTTTCCAAGTTTTGTACAGGCGCTGACATCTGATCCCGCGACCCAAGCTTAGACACCGTGCTAAATCACTGGTCAAAAGATGGAGGCGGTTTGTGCGAAGCTGCAGTGCATTCTGGGGCACGGGCAACCAGCTCAGGGAGATGAGGGCTTAGGAGGTGTTAAAGGTTATTGAATGCTGGAGAATTCTCCTGGCGGCGGAAGCATTGTTTACAGCTATCTATATTTTTTTACTCTTTGCCCTTGGGCTGCGGCCCATAAACAGAGCTGCTATCCCCCACACCCCGGCTAGTGGAGAGTGCAGAGCATAATTGTGAGTCCCCCTTGGATGTCCCAAAAGTGAAAGATGTGTCTGGTAAGGGAGAGAGGTCAAACACGAGCATGGATATTTATTACATGCACTGCAACCAGATGGAGGCGGCCCATCCATCAAGCAGAGCTGTCACGCTGGTCACAAACGTTTCCCATAAAGACAACCCCCCCCCCCCCCACACACACCACCACCCCTCGCTGCTTCTCGCTCATGCTCTGTGAAAGCAGGAGGTCCATCCGCATGGGAAGAAAGAGAGTGTGAAAGAGCGAGGAGATTTGTTTTGCACAGTTATGAACTTTAAGACCGGCCCACCACATTCCCAGTTTGACAAGCCTTTCCATGACTCCATTGGCTTCACCATTTTTCTCTCATTAGTGCTTTCTCTCGCTTTCTATGAACTGGACCTGGCCTATTTTTAGCAATAACTTTTATCAATACAGCAGTGACCGGCTGGGTGGACGGTCAGAAAGGGCACGAAAGGAAGGCATGCAGCGAGACAGCTTAGGGAGATGGGAAAGCAGTAGAAGTGGGAGCAGTGGAAGGGCGTTTCTGACACTTGCTCCCTCATTCATCAGGCCCTCATAGGCCCGTCGGTGACAATGAAAAGATTTCACAATACAGCCGCGGCAGAAACTCATTCTGGCCCTCATCCATCATGCTCAGCCCGCTAGCCGTTCCACTGACCTAATCTGTGATGCATCGCTGCCTGCACCCGGTTCCTTAAAGGCAGGCTTCATTACTGTGAGGGAGAGCAGGAGATAGAGGCCAGGGGCAAAGGGCTTGGAGAAAAGCGCTGTGATAGTCAGATACACACAGAGACTTAAGGCACATAAAACACTGAGACAGCGAACTGTCACAATCACACACTTCCTACAGCAAACAAAACTGCAGTACAAAGTAGAGAAGTAGGGTGGAACTGCCGGTCAAATTAGTCTGATTACCTTGAAAACTGTCTAACTGTCATGGAAATATCCATCCAACAATCTAACAGCCTTCCTCCCATCCATCAATCAATTGATTAGGCAGCTTGTTACTGTCACAAACAATTTCCTATTCAATGACTGAAATAACTAGAATCAGATATGCAAAACTCACAAATGCAGTTAAGCAAAGTTTGCTTGAGATACAATCTCTGCCTTAACCTGAATTTAAAACAGACATCTATTTGTATTTCCCTTGTACTTACCCTTGTCTACATCCTTTCCAAACATAAACCCACAGTATGTTGTGCCCCCTGCACTGGACTGCTGAATGTTACTTAACCAAAGAGGGGTTGGACAGAGGGAGGCTGTCTACCTGACCCTGAACCAGCTATTATGGTGCCTTATTCCCTAAACCACTGCTCTGGGTCTGAGGCCAGACTGCACTGGCAGCTCCCCCTCTTATCTCTTTAACTGGTCTGTCCCAATACCCTGTTGCCCGCTGCTTAATGGAGCCTGTCCCTGCGCCGAGGGACAAATTCAATCAGGCTCCTCGCTAAACATCTTCAAATAACATTGTTTCACCTCTGAGGGAAAGTGAACATTGTTGCTATTGAAATCAAGGCAACTGTCTAGGTAGCACATGCTATACATGCTCAGCCATCTCCAGAAATGGGAGCAATACTTGTACTGTAGGTCCTTTTTACAGTTCTTTATTGTATTACTTTGTGGACAACATTGCCACCAAGTCCAAAAGGTAAAGAAAACAAAACAAAGCTGGTATATTGGTGTGTTGTTTTAAAAGCATACCAGTAATTGCCATACTGCAATACCAACAGTCCAAACCAAAAGCTGATCTGCTTGATGGTGCCTGGCAGGTGTTTATCCAAGCTAGGTTAGCTCTTTCACCAGATACACTCAAATAATAAACTGCTTAGTGTTTGATATCCTTCACAGCCAAGTACTTTGAAGTAATGTAACAGTTAGCAAGGTTTGTACACTAAATCGTTGTTTACAAAGCTGTAAAATGTGATGCATTCCTCATTAAAATACAATAAATACATCAATGAACTACTTACATCAGTACATTCCTGCTGTTGTGTATTTCTTTACACCAGTAACAACTCAGTCTTATATGTCTAATAAACAGTGTAACATAAGGCATGCTGTCCAACATAATCCAAATGGAAAAGTAATCTTCAACCCATCCTAAATTGCTATCAACGTAGGCTCGATGATCATTTTACCATCAGACCATTCATTGCATCATACATCCTCCCTTGTGGGGGCTGGAGATTAAGTAGACAGCTAATTGACAGGCCGGGCTGCCCAGGAAACACCAACAAGACAGATCAAACTAATGGGAAGTGTTTACAAGCCTTACATCAGCACAGATAACATCTGAGGAGAGATTTTCTTTAAAGCTCCCATAAATCACAAACATATCAAAATGTATACCATTGTGCATTTTTTAAAACACATCCAAACAAAGTTGCAGTATGTAATAGTTGTTTACACTGTGTATACAAAGCATTAGAATTACATATTATATAAATGCTTGATAATTCAATATTCAATATTTGTACTATATACATTATAAATGATTACCCTTTGTATTGTTGTCAAATATAATCCTGTTTTGTACAACTATTACTGATTTTAAACAATCTTCATGTCAATATTCCACATTTTTGTTGTTGTTGTTGTTGCTTGTGCTGTTCATGTGTGTGCGATAATTAAAGGAAACAGCAATAGTGTCAGAGTAGAATCTATAGTACATAATGTCCACCCAAATGCAGAACAAGAAGTCAATAAAGAGCACTGTATTCAGTAAGGATGAGAGCCTTTCCTGTCTGAGAGAGATGCTTTTATAGAAAGCCGTTAAGGAAGAGCAGAGTCCTCAAGTGATTTTTTGACAATTTAACTGGTTCTCCTGACACATTAAATGACTATGCTGACAACTTAACTGCACTGCCAATCAATATTTCCTATTACTGTCATTGGCAGAGAGAAAATAAAAATATGATGTTAAGGTCAAGCCGGGAGTGACAAGACATTAAGGCCCTATCAGAGCTGCTTATTAATGCAGATAGCCCATCAAAAAAGAGAAGTTGTATGCCCAATGATGCCTATTCAAGGTTTTTCTTTAGAAATAGTCAATTATATCAACACATTTTAAAATGCTATGAGATAAAGATGACATTTTTACATAGTTTACATAAATTAGGAATATTGAAAGATTATTATTACTCACTTTACATTTGTACACAGTGATTTCTTGAAGCAAGATATGGACTGGCTGACTGTTTTCCTGTTCACAGCAGAGAACCTGCCTCGTAAAAAACAAATGACGTTAAATGCAACAACCCCATCAATAGCAAGCCGCTTAACTCCACCCACAGCATTACAACCCAGCAGATTCCACATCAATGTGAGGAGGAGACAATTAACCAGGGGTTTAACATGTCAATCATGTCCTGTCAACCTATCACACTTGCACTCTCAGGTCCGCCTCCTACTTAACTCCCTCTGTGATATGCTGCTGGCAGTTTGGATGGCTTGACTGACGGCAGGCCTGATCTGGGCACTGGGAGGCGCCTCTGTGGATGTCTTGGACATGAGAGATGAAGATTGTGGCGGACATGAGAGGGTGAAGCGAATGGCCGAAAAGGATATGGTGTGGCCAAAATTAGCTGTTCTGTCCTAATTAGATGTGCAAAGCAGCAAAGGGGCTCTGCTACTATCATGATGAGAGTGAGGGGAGGGCTAACCGGGCAGATAGACAGACAGTTTAAAAGATTCACCTCCTTTTATTGATTGGAAAAGTGCACCGATGTTGTGCACAAAGTTCAGTTCTCCATCAGTCAAGCGCTGAATTTAACAGAACTAATCACACACATTCTGTATGCAGTAAAACACCATCAAAATATGCAAAATCAAACTAAAATACCCATGATAATCTCAAACCATCACCTGTTACGTGTCTACAAAATGCAAATATATCCAAACCTTGTAAAGTTAAAAGTAGAAAAATGTAATATAAAATATAATTGGTAGGCAATTATCCACCATTATTCTAACTTAATGGGACTATCTAACATATTTAACTGTAGTCTAGAAAGAAAGGGTAAATGGAAAGAGACAGAGTGTGTGTTATATCAGGTTCATGTAGGCAGAAATATGGGCTGAACCCACTGGCTGTGTATCCCATTACTTTGCTCTTTGCTTCCAACCCTTTGGATTCCATACCGTTCTGTTAACCATCAGCAATTATCTCCCTGTCAGAGCTAAAGGTAACAAATTTCCCCCCATCCAGCCAGCCGCTATCATCCTCTGGACACCAGCATCAACTGACAGCAGCTAAATCACGCCAGCCAGCCAAGACTCCTGACAGACAAATACACTACCTTGGAAAACCTGGGCCCATCACTCTAAGAGGGGAGGGGTGGAGGAGAGGAAGAGGGAGTCTTTCCATGCTGACCTTATACTTCTTCCCTTTTTTCCTGCAACCCCCCCCTTCTCGCTGTAAGAGATGGACTGCCCTGTATTCTGTAAGCACAGGCCCCGTTCCCAAATAAGATAATTATTAATGGAGCTTTCCTTGGCGCTGGTTTATCTTGTGCCATCACACCAGGTCCAAGTTTCTCCCTTTTACAGATGGACACAGAGAGCTGGGGCTATGAGTTATCCACACAGCACCCAGCAACAGCAAAACAATACGGAGGCTCCAACTAAAAACACCATATTTCTACTACCTGGGAAACTTTCTAACACCTGCTTTGAGAAGAGGAATCCACACATTAGGTTATGTGTCCCCTGAATAATCAGCATGTTAATCAACATGTTTATGTGAATGACTGGATCAAATAAAACAGCATTAGTAAATAAATGATTTACAGCCAATTCATATTGTTCCTTAAGTTTAATCCATAAATCATGCATTAAAGCTATGAAAACTTTTTTTTGTGAGTCATCAACCTTTCTTTGGTTGAAATCAGATCAAGACACCATTTTATAGTCTGAAATTATTCGTTAGTCAAAGAAATAGTGATGACAAAAAATGAATATGCGACTATTTGATTGTTGATATACTGTATTGGATTGAGTCAAAATGCAGTACATTCTCTGTTTCTTGTCTCTCAACTTTGACACATTTTCCTGCTTCTTCCCGTTTCATATTATACATTTAATTATTTTGGTATTGAGCTGTTGGTCAAACAAAGCTAAACAAAAAATGTAAAGATGTCTTCTCGGCTTCGGAAATTGTCACATCATTTTGACAAAATATGAAATGGTAATGAACACAAGGAATGCCCACTGATATGATATAACTGTTACTGATGCCTGTGAGTGTTATCTTAAACTCACCACAAAATAACAGCAGTAAACAGGTTGACGACCAAAACATCAATAATCCAAGGTGAGGCAGTGGTATGCATACTTGTGCAGATTACTGTGATTAATGTCACAGAGTGACAGTGAGGTTAGGGCGACAATATGATTCCTATTCTAAATGGCATGACCTTTCTTGTGTGTCAAACATATTCACCATACAAGTCACTGGCACGTCGTTGCTCATCAGCATATTACCTTTCCTTTCCCTGCTGCCATTGATGTCATTATTTTTAATTATATTAAAGAATTTCGCACTTTGAATGTTCCAGGTATCCCACATCGCAGACGAGGTCAAATCACATGGGCTAGAAGGTGTAAATCAAGTTTTCTTTGCATTACATTAAGTGGTTCACAGCTTTAACAGCTCTTACGTTCAGATTACATTAGCATACTCATGCAGGTAGATTTCTGTGTGTGACACCCTGTATCAGTAGGGGTGAGAGAGGAGGGGAGCTGTACCTGACAGTGACCTGTCAAGCCAGATAGGGTGTGTTTAACGATAAGCTGTCTGCCTGGATCACACACACACACACACACACACACACACACACACACACACACACACACACACACACACACACACACACACACACACACCACACACACACACACACACACGTTTCAACCCCCCAAAAGGTTAGATGTAAGACATACAATCTATATATATTTGTATTCTATAATCTATGTCCTTTTTATATTCTATAATACATATTGTGATTAATTAAGTATTAAAAACCAAATCAGCAGCACAAACATATAACAACAATTATCACACACTCACTTGTGAAATAGGTGTGCTTCAACTAAAGATTCCTTTAACTATCACAACAATGTGTCTTTTTACAATTCTTTGTTTTGTATTGATTAATTGTTAAGTCTATAAAACATCACCACATATTTAGGTTCCCAGGCCCATGGTGAGGTTGTCAAAAATCAACATTGTTCGTAGACAGAGAGGGTGGGTATAATTTGAGAGGAAATCTACATTTTAAGCAACTCAAGGTCAGAACAACTCTGAGAAGTACGAGTTTAACAACCTGTGGGGTGATTTTATGGAATGGGTTGGAGCAGGAGTTAAAACAAAGCACAAGCATAATTTAGTTTAAAAGGATGTACAGAAACACTTTTTTGGAAAAATATGAGAATGAAGAGAGGTGATTGAAGATGAGACATGATTGTATATGTATGTATAAATGTAAGTAGGAATAACTTGCATAATGATTTAAAGGACAATCATTGATCAAGTAAGGGGTGGGAATTAATAAGCATTTGCTTCCTCCTACTCCCTTTCGGACACATATGATTTATTATTATTATTAATATGAAGACATTTTTTGTTTTTTTGTTGAATATACAAATATTACCATGAATGTGGATAAATACTGTATTATAACAATACGGTATTCTGTTTTTCACATTTGTTATTTGTTATTTTTTAATCTGTTCGAATTAAAGACTGAAAGAAAGAAAGAAGCAGCAGCCTAAAACCTACAAATATTACTTTAATAATGGCAACAACTTCAACTTGAAAACGTAATTTTTCATCACACATCATTTTCCATAGATTGAATAAGCCATAGTTACTTCCGCATTCAGATGTTTTATGCTAAGTATTAATAGAGAGAAATGTAAAATAAGTAGTAGCAGTATTATGACGTTATTTTCAAATGTCATGTATTGTAAACCTTATTGTAAAAGTTAATTAATAAAGTACAAACTAAATATTCATACAGGTCATGTGGTAATATTCATAAATAATGTAACAACTAAATCCATCACAGGTCATTGAGGTATGATAAGTAACTGTTCAACTAAACACTCAATGTAAAAAACGACTGACTCACAAAGACACAGCTGGTGAAACAGCGTCAATTTCGCTCCAAAACAAGCTCTGCAGTTTAACAACAGGGCAAAGTAACGACATACTGTAGACTGTAGAACAAGCCTACCAGGGTGTCCTGGTTTGACTATAGTAATTGGAGGACTACACACACAAAGACACAAAGACACACAAACAGACACACAAACAGACACACACAACACACAGACACACACACACACACACACACACACACACACACACACACACACACACACACACACACACACACACACACACACACACACACACACACACACACACACACACACACACACACACACACACACACACACGGCCCCTAGGCAGGATCAATATTTGTTGGGATTGCACCTTGTTCCAACAATGTAAGATTTACGGCAGGCATGGGGGATTTACACTTTGTCTTCGAAGCAACTCATCAGCGCAACCCAATTACTAACCCCAGACAGACAGCATTAACATGGGCCCCGCTGCTGCTTTATGGCCCCTCAGCCCGTCTCATTCCAGCCTCTTCAGGCGCTGCCACCATAACGGATACTACACTTAAAATGTGCTCACAGGAATGAATTCTCAGTCTTTCATTACTCCTACCTTGATTTACTTCATATCATTTCACAGCTATAGACAAAGATAACACATTGTAAATTACCCCCATCCTGTCTGCTTGTTTCAGCACCAGGGAGAGGGGGGGGTTGGGGGGAGCAGCAGGGGCGACCGGGGGAAAACAGAGGGGGGGGCAGTGGCTGCACGAGGGGGCTCAGGTGTGCATCTGCCCCAACAGAGCTGTATCTCTGACACAGACAATTGGTTTGTCCTTGTCAAACTTCCTACATGGTCTTTTACAGTGTACAGTGGCCTATATAAACACATATGAAATCCTACTTTGGAGGAGAGCTTAAGAGTATAACATTTTTTAAATTAAATTCACAGAAAATGTAATATTATTTTTTAACTTGAACTCTTAAGTGAGCGACAGTTGTATGAAGAAATAAAAAAATAAAATAAAAGTGGTGAACATATGGAAACCATTTGAATGTTGAGCCCTCAGGCCATTGGCAGAGCCTTGCAAGTTG